GGGGTTCCGGGGGCCCAGAAATGGACATATCCGGGCATGGGCGATGTGATGGACCACTGTGCCATGCTCTGGAGCAGAAGATCCTGAGCATCGGCACCGTGGCCTACGTTCACCTGGAGGATGCGGAGATGTGGATCCATCACTGGACTTCCATCCCCGCATCCCGCAGCGAGCTTTGCGGCTGTCCAGCGGCACTCTCCGTCTGGATCAGCGGCTCGGAGGCGGAAGGTCGGCCTCCCGGAACGTTAAGTACCTGAGATTTCATTGTTTATTCATGATAATAGAAATTGTAACCATATCTTTACTTTATATTGTGTTTTAATCATTTGTAGAACGTAGCTTTACTTTAATTAATTACCTTACCCATGTATAATATAATTTATAAAATATTGATTTTATTAATAACTAGCTGACCCGCGCAACTTCGTCTGCGTCTCTCAATAGTAATAAATTTTCTCCGTTTTTGAAACATTCTTCATTGGTGCTCCGCTCCTATTGGTCTTAGCGTGATGATATATAGCCTATAGCCTTCCTCGATAAATGGGCTATCTAATCCTGAAAGAATTTTTCAAATCGGACCAGTAGTTCCTGAGATTGAGAGAACAAACAAACAAACAAACAAACTCTTCAGCTTTATAATATTAGTATAGATTTTGATTTTTTGATCATAGTGGTTTGAAAAAAGAACCAATATGCTGCCATCTATGACAGAAAGAATACATTACAAGATTTAAAACCGTTCCGTTCTCACAGTTACGGATGAAATTCCAGTTTAATTCCACAATATTGAAAAAACTCTCAATATAATTATCATAATCATTAGGTTAAATAAATTGAATTATTTATAAAAAATCACACAATTTTCCTGATTAATGAAATTATCTTCACACGTGTCTTGTAACGGAACGAAATTCTTATGTCAACGCAAACAAAACTATGTCAAAATTAATTCTAAATTTCGTGTAAAAACAACAACAAAATCACACAACAATTTATGTGCAGCAATCCATGTGCTCCTATTATTTTTGTTTACAATAAACAGACGTCGTGATGGCTGAGAAGTAAGTTATTTTCGATATTTACGTTTTCTTAAAAATCGTATCAACATCCTATGGTTTTCATAGAATTCGCTAAGTCGTGAAAAAAGTTGTTTTGTTGATAGAAGGATAACGACAGATCATTATTAATGTACAATATGTCTTATCTTTAATGAGTTTAATCATAGAGAAGGAATCAAGATATTAGATTAATTGCATGCTCAGTTATTTCCTAACACGGCCAATATGAGGGCAAATTACATCGTAACTGTGTAATGTCAACTACATAACTGTATCAACTGAATAATTTCGGTATTAACTAGATGCGGTCAAAAAGTACATCTTGTAAATACAACATATTTTCAGACTATACAGTATACATTCAGGTAAAAGAATAAACATAAAAAAAATATGTTGAACAAGATATTGTTAATTGTTCTTGGTTCTTTGTTTTTTAATTTTCTATAGACAAGAATGCCACTCTGTGTATCTTGTTTGCTTGATGTCGATAGGTTCTATTTTGTTAATGCAAAAGAGTTTTTAATATAATTTGAAAAAAATACATATTAATCATAGTTTTTGCTACTTATCCAACTAGAATCAGTTAAATAATGTTTATTAACTTACTTATATTAATTAACTTTTCGAATAACCCTAAATCAGGCCTTGGATTTAGGTTGAAATGGTTTCTAATTATACAAAGATCTCAAAATGTACTTTATCGAATTGCAGAACTAAACAAAGAAATACACATTTAAACTGTTTTACCTTGTTTATCAATTGTAACAGCCAAGTTTACTGTGAACATTTAAACAAGAATATTATACAGTCTAAGATGTTTTAATTTAAGGTTAAATATAATAATAAAATTAAAATATAACAAAAATTTTTTTTGTTCAAAAAATAAATTAAAACAAATACTAATAGTTTAAAAATAGCATTAATTATAATAGTTTATGTTCCATATTAAATATGATGTATTTTACGTAAAAGTGTTGCAATTGCTAATATTTACAATCATGATCCATTAGATTACATTTTTAAAGATCATTTTATAGATGGGTTTTGAAAAACATTATCATCAGCCTTTCATAGTCCACTGCTGGACATAGCCTCTTATGAAAGAGGTTTTGGCCTACTATACCACGCTGACCAGATGGGTTGGTATCGGGTTGGTTTTAAGTTGTCCTCCTCTTTGCAGTGCCTTTGTCCCGCATAGTTTGTCCCCTTATTTAGCTCCTTGAAAATATGATTTAGAAAAACTGACAGAAATATGACTTATAACTAACTAATAAGTTATTAAGTATTATATTTGTCCTCTATAACACATTCCTTTATTCCCAATTTTGAGGTCCAGTGCAATTAATTAATTGTTAGTGATTTAAATTTGTCATAATTTGATGTAACTATATTAAGAAGTGCAATAAAAAAATGAAATAAAAATTGTGCCCTTAACACCACACCTTACAATTTAACTCATTGTCCTCATTACACTATGTATATATCGCACCTTTCCATTTCTTGAAGCATTTTAAATATCATGTAAATTTTGTGTAGGTCTTCTGATTCCAGTCCTACTGAGGAAACATCCACCCCGAGACAGGATGACAAACAATCAGGCAACTGGTGGGACACATGGCTGTCTTCAGCTAAGACAAAGGTCAGTTATATTCTGTTATTTAACTGGTTGTTTGCCGTAGATGAGTGAATGGATCTATATCACAATGTTATGTCTGCCGCAGGTTATGTATAATGGTGTAAAGAAACCCTACTTTGTATCATCCTAAATCCAGTTTTAAGCAACAGTAGAAAAGGTATTGAGTAAGCCTGCCAACAAATTTTTTCTCCCATAAAAGTAATTTGCCTGTGATATTTTCTTAATTTTAAATTTTGCTTTTAAACAATTCAAATATGCAAATTAATTTCAAGGAAATATTTAAAAAAGCAGTATATTTTAAATTATTGTAATTAAATTTCAACATAATCGTTCAGAAAATACTTGCCAGTAGTAAAATATCAATATGTTCCGAGTAGTAAGTACTGGAGGGAGGTCCTCTACTGTAGGTACTCTTCACTATATAACTAAACTATTATGTGAATATGAATTAAAAAAAAATTAATGAAGAGGCACTGTTACCCACAATTGTATTTTTATAATAATTTTGTTGCTTGTAAGAATAAAATTTGTTATAAAAAGCAAAATGAAAAGTTTTCAGAAAACCCCAAGTCGGTTAAAACGTAATCGAAAAAGCATAAAATAATTTAAAAAAACCCCAACCTTTGTGTAACGAAAGATAATAAACGTAAAAAGCTTTTATATCTTCGACAAACAAATAGGCACGTAAGGAAGTGCTATGAAAACTGATACTCTATTGTTTATATGACCAACTTTGGGAGAGATCAACTCGCTTTTTACGTTTATTATCTTTCATTGCATAATCTGGTAAAGTCGGGGCTTTTTAAATTATTTTATCCTTTTTCGATTACGTTTTAACCGTCGTGGATTTAAAAAAATAATTTTGTTATTCATTTCAGACTTTTAGAGAGTATGTACATATCTATATAATATAATATAATATATTCTACCACATGTGTATGTGGTAGAATATCACATCGCACACAACGCCATCTAGTCCCAAACTAAGCAGAGCTTGTACTATGGGTACTAGACAACTGATATAAATACATATATTACTTTTTTTTTTGTACATACATACATATTTATACATAGAAACACCCAGACCAAATCAAACATCATATGTTCATGCACACAAATGTTTGACTTGAGCGGGAATCGAACCCGCGACCTTTGGAATAGCAGTCCGTTACACAAACCACTACGCCATCCAGTCGTCAACGTCCTACGAGTATAGAGTTTATTTCGTAGTTATATTATGTATACATATTTACAAATTTACTTTGCCCTATACTTTGTTGTAACTCGATATCATTACGTAGAATGAAAAAGATAAATTGATATGATGTACAAAACAATCCAACTGCAGCTCTATAATAGTCGTCAAATAGAAGAGAAGATAGAGATACCGATAGAGAAGACCATATTCGACGTGGGCTTTTTCTTTTTTTATTAAATTTTTATTTAGTATTTTTAGAGTTCCCATGTCGCTACTCTCTACATAAATACTTACCTATCGATTTCTATCGAGTTAATATAATATGTAGGAACTAATATAAACGGAATGTTACCTTCTTGCTAATGGACGGCCTTGTCATTGCAAATCAAATGAACCCAAACTCAAAGGTTTACTAATAACCATTAAAGAGTTCTACTATATTCCTTTTGGCTCCATCATCAGACCCTGGCCGCTATGCGTAATTACAGGGGCTCGTAAAAGCCAGTCTAAAGAGCCCAAACACGAAGGGTTTGCTAGCAGCCAGAAGAGTTCCAGTATCCACCTTTTGGTTTCTTCATCAGATCAGCCTAAAGTTGCCAATTTATAGTATTGACATGTAAATCACATATAACTACAAAGTTTCAAACTGGCAGGACAATCCAACTCATCAAAAACGAGCAAAAACTCATTTTTACTAAAAAAAAAAAATTACTGAAGCGCCCCTAATAAGTTACCACCGTAACACTTATCTAAGAACCATTACTAATCAACCACGAACCCATTACTGAAAACCGCATAAAAATCGGACAAGTACTTTTGGAGATAAACACAACATTGGTTTTTTTTTTTTTTGCTCTGTCGCAACCCCGCGGTAAACAGCTGTTCTGAATTGCTCCCGTTTATTTTTTTGTTTTAAATATTATATTCTGTTTAAAATATCATTTAAATACCAATTTCTCACTAAGCAAATAAATGCTACTTGCACAAATTATATAAGAATAGTTCATAAATGTTATTTTAGTAAATAAACAAATTTGTAAGTGACGGTTGGGATACCGGCAAGTTACGAATAACATTAAAAAAGTGTTGAAAATTGTGCCTGGAATTTATTGTCATCGCTTTACAGGTATCGCTATTTGATTTATTTATTATTTTCTTTAATACGATTTCGGTAAAAGTGTAGTTAATTCTTTTTTTTTTTTTTTTTTTTTTTTTTTAATTTAAAGGGCTTTGTCGCTGTGCGACCACATCGCCCTGTGACAGTACGAATTTATTAGTTAATATCTAACATAGACACATCTCTACCAATTTATATAATTTCCGGGCTTCAACCGACACAGGGTTAGCCAGAACACTATTACAAAGGCCGATATTCATACCTCTCGAGACCCCTAAATGTTCCCTGTAAGTTCTGTTCCTTACACATTCAAAAATAATGTGTAATATATCATCGGTTACACAGCAGTCCTCACAGTTGGGAGATGAGACTTTTCCCATTAAAAATGCGAATTTCTTAGAAGCTATATGACCTGTTCTCAACCTTAAGGCAGTTACCAAAGCTTTTCTATTAAGTTCCACGTTTTCGATCCATGGGTATTTAGGCACTTGCGGCTGTATTGTACGGGTACCAAATACCCTTCTCTCTCGATCTCTCATCAAAATATTCCTGCCAACACATATGACATTTCTCTTTACGACTCTGGTGTAGTCAGTATGTAAAGGCAATACTTCTAATGCAATGCCATTCCAACATGCCTCTTTTGCTAATTGGTCCACAATATCACTCTCCCCAATACCAACATGTGAGGGAATCCATTGCAGAACAATTTTCCTACTTAGTGATTGAAAATTTAGGATTGACTCCAATATTTGATAGGCTATCGGATTACCTCGAATGTGCGAGGTACATCGAGCCAA